GCGGGAACCTCCTTGAAATACAGCCGGGGAAGCAATTATTTGAATATTAATGTAAAACTGACATTTCTTACCAAAGGAATCCATCCATCCCCACGATGACTACCAGTAGAGGGCCCAAGTACATTATACAGGTTCATCTACGTGTTTATGGAGAACATCTTGTTTTGTCTGTCATATGCATTTTTAAAAGATGTTAGGCATGTATTTTCCTTTTTCCCAGGACTGACTTCATTTCAGTTAAAGTAATTACTGATTTGTCATTGAGTTCAGGCAGAGAAGAGCAGTGTTAACTCACAGTGTTCCAAGTCACATGAACAGGTCTGCTGACTTACATTGGAGCCTGGGATTGTCTGAAGGGTTTGTCCCAGGATCTGGAAAGCCAAAGAGATATCAACAACCTTAAGGGCATAATACTGCTTTTCAGGTTGGTGCACTTGTCTCCTGAAGAGGTATTTGATTCTTTAGCAAAACTGTAAAAAACATGTACCTAAGGAGGCAGGAGAAACTGTCTGAATGAGATAATGGTCCAGAGGGCACCATGGCAGCAGGAGCTCTGCTCCTTCTCCCAGGCAGGCACACAGCACTCACTCCCTTCGGAGCAGTCCTGCTCCTGCTTGATGGGCTTGCAAAGGACCCGTGCTTAAAATAAAGACTTTGGTGGCATTGCATTGATTTGGATGCATCACTGATTGCTTTCTGGCTGCACACTTAACCAGATTTAATTCCTGTTCCCTTCCCACCACCTTGGCCTTGCCTGCTTGATCTGGGTCTCATGTTTAGCTCATTTCTACATCCATCAGAAAGCAGTCATCTACACAGTTTCTGTGGTGCTATAGATCCTGGAATGAATGGACCATGAGATGATCTCAGCTCTGTGCAATACCATGGCAGATGTACTGAATGAACATTCATGGCACACCTGGTTACTATCCTCTTAGGATGGAGATGTGCTTCCAAGAGTCAGATCAACAGTATACAGTCTGGGGGTCTTTGGATCCATATGTTGTCTCTTTTAGACAGAAAGATATGCCATGCCCTTCAGTACTGGAGCATGAATCTGAACTGTCTGGTTGAATCTGAGGCTTCATGGATACACCAATGTGGGATTACACCTTAAAAATCAACATAAAGGTATGACACCAATATATACCTGTCCACTGGTGGCACTCTGTCATGAGTCCTGGCTGTCTGCTAATTACTCTTATCAATGAGCATGTCTCATTCAGTTATGAGAAAAATGTTCACTTCGGTATTCAGTAATGACCTTTCCTTGATGGACTGCAGATTTACAGAGTGGAATAAACTGAGTAAGACTCTTGGAAAATACTCTCTATTCTAGCATAAAGCCTCAGATCATGCAATCACAGACTGGTTTGGGTTGGAAGGGACCTTAAAGGTCATCTAGTCAAACCCCTTTGCCATGGGCAGGGACACCTTCCACTAGACCAGGTTGCTCAAAGCCCTGTCCAACCTGGGCTTCAATACTGCCAGGGAGGGGGTAGCTAACACTGCTCTGGGAAACCTGTGCCAGTGCCTCACCACCCTCACAGGAAAGAATTTCTTGTTATATCTAATCTAAATCTACCCTCTTTCAGTTTAATGCCATTACCCCTTGTCCTATCCCTCCACTCCCTGATAAAGAGTCCTGTCCTCCCCCATCTTTCCTGTAGCCCCCTTTAAGTACTGGAATGCTGCTATAAGGTCTCCATAGAGCTGTTTTTTCCCCAGGCTGAACAACCCCAACTCTCTCAGCCTGTCCCCATAAGGGAGGTGCTCCAGCGCCCTGGTCATCCTTGTGACCTCCTCTGGATCCACTCCAACAGGTCCATGCCCTTCTGATGTTGCGGCCCCAGAGCTGGACACAGCACTGCAGGTGGGGTCCCATGAGAGCTGAGTAGAGGAGGAGAATCCCCTCCCTCGACCTGCTGGCCACACTTCCTTGATGCAGCCCAGGATACGGTTGGCCTTCTGGTTGGGCCTGACCCTATTCCTATCTTCAGTGTAAGGAGAAGAGGTTTTAATGTTATTTTGACAGATGGTGTTGTGTCTGTTTCCATTTGAAAGCGCAGGGAGCATCTCAGTGTTTGAATCTGTGTCAGTAGTCCTATTTCCGGGTTTTATTTATACCTCCTAAAATAAAACAGTCATAATTTCTTGGATATATTTGGAGGACTCTAACAGTTTATGACCAAAATCTCCCTGAGATCTCCTACTATAAACATCTAAGTACTAAACTGGAGCACATTAGGGCAATCCCACAGAATGTTCCTATGTACTTCAACCACCAGCCTGGCAACAATTGCTTCTGGTTAGAGACACCGATCTCCTAAGTCAAAAAGCTGCGATACGTCATCACATGATTTTTCTATGAATGGCCATACTTTATCTTGAGAGATCCTTAAGGAAATTACTTCACAGATCTGTTCAGAGAAGAGGAAAAAAAGCAGAAATATTTTTGATGGCCATATGAGTACAGTGTGAGGTTTTGTTCCAAAAGTCTTTTAACTTGCTCTGAGGTCAGATGCTTCTCATGTGATGCAGCTAGGAAAAAAACACGTGAAGGGACATTCTAACTGAAAGCTGTACGGTAGCAACTCTCAAGGAAGGAAAGACGAAAATGAGTGTTTTCCTATTACCCACTTCAGGGTACAGAAGAGGAATACTGAGGTAAACTAGATTTTTGCCTCTGAAAACTATAGAGCAGGCAGGCAGAATACACATTCTCAGAAAGACAGATGGGTTTCACATACCTCCAGCCCCTAGCCATCAGTTATTGTGCTTTCATGAAGGTTGCAGTACATGTAATTTTTCCAGAAATCCTTTGCTAGGTTGCACAAGACCTACACCTCTTTGCACTTGTCCAACAGGGTGGAAGAAAAAGGGAGGATCCAATGAGAACACGGAAAGAAGCAAGGAATTTGTTTGTCTCTAAACTTCAGGACAGAGACCTGAATAGATACTTGTAGAGTTCATGTTAATGTAATCTTCTCCCAGAGCCCTTCAGACTCAAGAACAGCATTTTTAAGAAAGCAAGCTGCAAGTTTAGCTTCTAAAGCTGCTGAGAAAGGCCAGCTGGGCTTGTAAAACCAGTTGCCATCCCTTCAGCCCCTAGAAGAAGGAGCCTAAGAACAACTTACCTATTGCCTGCACAGATTTGTTTCACTGGAACGCGCTTGTTGCTGGCTCAGTGATAACTCTGGACAGGCTCAGATGGACTGGCTGGCTGCCAGTGAGGTGGAGAGCAGCGCAGATCAGGCTGTCAATGCTTTGGCTTTAAAGATGTAAAATGTTTTGAAACAGATAAATATTTTTACTATTATCCCAAATTTGTGTCAGATATGTAAGTTCCACATAAAAATAAAAGGTTACAGCTACTGTCAGTTGTGGAAAATCCGAGTGCAACCAAAATTGCTCCTTCTGATATTAAACAAACTGGACAAGCAGCTGAGCATACAAAGTGTAAAGGATTCGATTTATCAGAGAAATCCCCATTTAAAAAAAACCTCTAGCTGGGTCAAGTGTCCAGTGAGAAGGAACTCAACAGCTCAGCGCAAAGACCAAAGACAGACGCAGCCTTTGAGAGAAACCCATTACAAAGAGCTCTGATCCTCTGCTAGTGAAGAATACAGACAAGCACACAGTTTATCAGTTTTCCTAGACTGGCTTTACCTTGGCAAAGGACACCTCGACATGCTTTTATAGGCAGCTCTCTGAGTTTCTGAAGAATTTTACATGTAACTTATTTCTGTGTGCAAAGTGGTTCAAAATAAAGACTTCAGGTGTAAGGAAGGCATATCACTTGTCACTGGCATTGTGCAGGAAATTTGGAGAAAAGAATCTGATGGCCAGCTTAGGTCTGGAATTTGCAAAAAAATCCATTTTGTCCAATGACATATAGCAGGGCACTTATACTTCACATCTCCTTCATTGCTCTCTAACCCTCCATTTGCATGGCACAAAGCAAAGAGGAACATGAAGCTCTTCTGTCAAAACTCCTCATTTCTGCCTGACGTTCCACCTAAGTGACAACAGCAGCAGAAGGACTTTACCATGACTCCTGTTCGTGTCTCTTCCCCCACAGATGATAAGCAAGTTACAGAGCTGCCAGAATTTTACTTTCACTTGTTGCTTGATAAAGCAGTGGGAACAACAGAGGCACAGGAGTAGTTTGTGTGCTGGTTGAAAAACCGTTTTATCTGTCTAGAGGATTATCTTGCTATCATGCTAGAAATTAGAAAAAAAAAAAAACAAAACCCAAACAAAAAGGCTTACACTCTGAAAAGACAAACTTCTCACAGCCACAGCAAATAATGTGAAAATGTTTGTAATTTTCCTTTATTCGCTCCTCTGATCTATAAACTAAGACGAGGTTAGACACAACTCCAAAAGCACCATTCTTTAGCCATTTCCTCTGGTTTCTACTTACTGCTCCAGGCTCCCCCCTTACCTTTTTATTTCAGTCAGGATCTGCACACTCACATAGCTTTCCCATTTACTGAAGGCGGTTGAAAATGCCTTAAAAGCGCGAGTGGCTCAGTTAGTTACAGGGTTTATAAAAGCGCGAGTTACGGGTGTAAGGGCAGGCATTTTCAAGCAATTAGTTTAGAACTGCCTTCCGCCGGCATTATAGGTTTCAGGCACCCAGCTGTAAGGATGCGGTGGCGAGGCTCTACCGGGCAGCTCCGCCCCGTTATCTGCACACTTCGCGCGTCCACAGAGCCGCTTCTCGCAGCGCCTGCCCACAGAACAGCAGCACACAGGAGGGGCCCCGGCCGAGCTGAGCCGCTGAGAGGGAAGCCCGGTCACCTGCGCCCAGGCCCAGGCCCGGCCCCAGCCCACTACGGCGCTGAGGCCACAGCCTCATGGGCCGCCCCACCGCCGGAGGAAGGGGCGGGGAGAGCCGCCTTCCTATTGGCCGTCCCTCTTCCCACCCTTCTCTCCCATTGGAGAAGTGTGGCTAGTAGGCGGGGGAACCCGACGAGCGACAGCCATCTCGGCGAATCGGCGGGCGCGCTCGCCCCCCCTCGCCGGCGTTGTGGCCAGAGTGCGCTGGAGCCAATGGGAGCGGCGAGGAGCTCGCGCGGGGCTGGGAGCAGGTAAACAGCGGTG